ATATATATATAATAATATATATATATATATATATATATATATATATATATATATATATATATATATAATGCTAATCCCCAAAATTCAATTGAAGTGTTCATGTATATTCGATAATTGTGTGGTTCGGATCCGATATATATAGTTTCTTCTTTAGGGGTGGTAACATTAGATTGTTGAAGACTGAAGCTAGCAACTAGCCATGTTAGGGCAAAAGTACAAAAGTGTGACTGAGAGAGTATTTTGTAAATTCTCATGTGTATGTAACAAATTGAAACTATAATAAGTGAAGTAGCAAACAAAACAAATTTATGTAATATAATGGACAATGATAAGCCCGTTTAGCATTAAAGCCCGCTAATGCTAGTAAAATTAATATAAGAGTGTAAAGAGTTAAAAAGTAAAAAGTAAATCTAGTTAAAACATATCAGACTCAGTGGTGGAATAATCAATTTACCACAGTTGTTGTTGGTTGAGCTACCCCATTATCAAGAGAGATAGAGAGAGAGAGAGTTTTGGTGTTTCTGCTTCAGGTTTCGATTTCAAGTTGTAGATCTTTCCACTCAGTGGGTTTGCGCTCTTCAAATTGCTGAACTTCGTGGAGCTTTGGAATTGATCGGCGATGGCAGTGGGAGATCAGACGGAGCAGAATTACTTGCCGAAGAAGAAGAAATCCGAAACGGAAGACGATAAGAGGTTCTTCTTGTTCTATCTCCTTTAGAAAATCTCTGTTGAATCAGTTGATTTTGTTTGCTGGGACTGGTGAATCGATCATTAATTTTGAAAGTTGTATTTATGGAATAGGAGGAAGAAGATTGTTCCCGGGAGCTTGTTGAAAGCAGTGGTGAGACCTGGAGGAGGAGGTGATTCGAGCCCTGTTGATGGTGATCAGGTTATAATTTTGGCTTCGTTTTGCTTGTCGTGAGACAGGGACGAAGAGTGGTCAATTTTGATGGTTATGTGTGTTTTTTTCGTCAGGTTATTTATCACTGTACTGTAAGGACACTGGATGGTGTAGTGGTGGAATCTACGAGGTCAGAATGTGGAGGTAAGACTGACCAAACATTTCTCAGTAGGGAGTTGCTTTTAGCTTTTTGTTAGGGATACCATCTAATGCGGTGTTTGATGTTTCCTGTTTTCAGGAAGAGGTGTACCGATAAGAGATGTTTTGGGGAAGAGCAAAATGATCCTTGGATTTCTGGAAGGAATTCCCACTATGCACAAGGGTGAAATTGCTATGGTAAACTAAAAAAATAACGTTTTTGTGTGTGTGTTCAAAGATTAGGCTGTTTAGTTTGGTTTAGCTTATTTAGTTGAGTCACCTGAATTTCAGTGAGTTGAGGCGCCAAAACCCTTCTTAGTTATTTTAGATTACTTCTCAATTCTTCACGGCTGAAGAAGTCTTTATACTTCTTTTTTGTTTTGTTTCAGTTCAAGATGAAACCTGAAATGCATTATGCAGAGAAGGATTGTCCAGTCTCAGCTCCAGGAAATTTTCCAAAAGATGATGAGCTTCATTTTGAGGTTGAGTTGTTGGATTTTTCTAAAGCCAAGGCAAGATCTCATCACAAACCAAGATAACAGTGCTGTACATAGCCAAAAGACTCTGAAAACTTGCATTTCATCTGTATTGACTTAAGCTTTCGTTTCCTGTGTTAATGTTCAGATTGCAAGTGAAGATCTGGGGGTCGTCAAGAAGGTAGGTCCTGAAATTCCATAGTTGTAGACGTATCAATTGGGTAGGGGATGATGTATTTATTTGGTTGCGTGGGCAAGGGTAGTGTAAGGAAGAATATGCAGAGGTTGAATGATATGATCCAAATTTCTCTTGTTCTTCCTGATGGCTCAAGCATTGCTTTTCTTTTATATGAAAGATTCTAAATGAAGGTGAGGGCTGGGAATCTCCCAGAGAACCTTATGAAGTAAAAGCCAGGTAAGTTAATTCTTCATCATTCCAGCATTTTGGGTCAAAATATCATTTAACATTGTTGTCTCTTGAGGGTGAAACATTGATTGAACATTTTTATGCATTGTGTTGTATATTAGGATATCTGCGAAATCCGGTGATGGACAAGTGATCTTATCTCACACAGAAGAACCTTATTTCTTCACGTTTGGAAAATCTGAGGTGGTTGTTAAGTTGACGGGATTTTTTTTGCTCTTTACTCTCTTTCTATACATAACCGGTCTTGCGGAATACATTGCTGACTATTGCTCATCAATTAGGTAGGTGCCTAAAGGTCTTGAAATTGGAATTGGAACTATGGCTCGGAAGGAGAAGGCAGTGATATATGTTCGCAAGCAGTACTTGACTGAATCTTCTTTGATGCATATCGATCATGACCTTGAGGAAGTTCATTTTGAGGTTGAACTGGTACATTTCATTCAGGTATAACAAAGACAAACCTTTTAATTCAATTTTCTTATGCAGTATTTTGCGCATTTAAGAATTGGGAGACTGAGTGATTGACATTCAAAGTTCTCGCATTGAAGGTGCGTGACATGCTTGGAGATGGACGTCTCATAAAACGTCGAATTCAAGATGGTAGAGGTATGTTTCTCACTGTATTTGTAACTGTTTTCTTATCCATTTCAACATGCTGATGGTTATCTTCTTATACATAGAATCCAGCTCTTGATTTCTGTATATTTTAGTTTATCTGCTAGACTATTCTGATCTGCAATGTTTCATAAACTTATTAGGCGAGTTTCCCATGGATTGTCCTCTCCAGGACAGCCGGTTAAGCGTTCACTACAAGGGCATGCTTCTCAATGAAGAGAAGACTGTCTTCTATGATAGCAAGATTGACAATAATGATCAGCCGTTGGAGTTCAGTTCAGGGGAAGGACTGGTCAGTTATTACTAATGTTATAGAAAAACCTTGTGAAGTTATTTACACGATTCAGTTGAAATAAATTCGCAGGCATGAAGATGATTATTCTGTCGTATTTTGCAGGTCCCTGAAGGGTTTGAGATGTGTACCCGCTTGATGCTACCTGGGGAGATTGCTCTTGTTACATGCCCCCCTGATTATGCATATGACAAGTTTCCAAGGTCATGCTCTTAACTGTACAATTCACATTGAACATGAATACATGATAGGGTATAAACTCTTGTTGGAGAAAGAAAAGCATTTTGACTGTTTGCTCTCCTGATAGACCGCCTGGCGTTCCTGAAGGTGCACATGTTCAGTGGGAGATTGAACTCCTTGGTTTCGAAACGCCAAGAGTAAGTTGGTCTAGTGATGATGCTTAGCATAGAAATTGTAAACAGCTCCCCATTTCTAATGAATCCAGTTTTCTTGTCACAGGACTGGACTGGTTTGAACTTCCAGAACATCATGGACGAGGCAGAAAAGATCAGAAGCACGGTATGGAAGCATATATTCTTCTACCATATAAATTGTAACATTACAGAGTTTTCTGTTAGCTAATCTTATCTCTACTTTTAATTATACTATGAACTTCAGGGTAACAGGCTTTTCAAAGAAGGAAAATATGAGCTCGCAAAAGCAAAGTACGAAAAGGTATATAGTCCAAAGGTCTAACTAATTCCAGTATTAGCCTTTTGTTTGATCATGTCTGAGAGGTGACCCAAAAACAAACCAGGTACTCCGGGAATTTAATCATGTTAACCCACAAGATGACGAAGAGGGGAAAATATTTGGTGACACAAGGGTGAGTCTCATCACCTCATAACGTTTGTAGTCATATATACGTCTAGATTATATTATATTATGTTTTAAGTATTAACTATCCCTTGTATGCTCTGTGATTTTTGAAGAATTTGTTACATCTGAATGTTGCGGCATGTTTGCTTAAATTGGGAGAGTGGAGGAAGTCTATAGAGACATGCAATAAGGTAACATTGAAATAAATAGAATTTCTGAAAGGCTTTATTCTTAAATCAGAAGTTCGGATTCTGAGAACTTTTGTGCTCCAATTTCCAAACAGGTCTTAGAAGCAAAGCCAGGCCATGTGAAAGGTCTCTACCGCCGTGGAATGGCTTACATTGCAGGTGGAGAGTATGATGACGCTAGAAATGACTTTAATATGGTATATTGTACTAAATCTGCTTGTCATAATCCAACCCCTAGATTAACTAATCTGCTTACTAACATGACTTATGTGTCTGTGTTTTAGATGATCAAAGTGGATAAATCATCAGAAGCAGATGCCACAGCTGCTCTGTTGAAACTGAAGCAGAAGGAACAGGTCAGTGTTTGAAAACCAGCAAAGCCAAATGTCCACCCCAACTGAGTTCATTAAGGCTACTTATAATTTGGGCAAGTTTTACTAGTTTTGATACTTGATGTAAGATTCGTTGAATTGTTGTTTCTTCTGACCTCACAGGAAGCAGAGAGCAAGGCTAGGAAGCAGTTCAAAGGGTTATTCGACAAGAAACCAGGGGAGATAACCGAAGTGGGCACAGAAATAAAAGAAGAGTCTAAAACTATAGAGGAAGTAGATGAGACAAAGGATAATGATGATGATGAAACACAGGAAGAAGAAGGAACGACGACGGTGAGCACGGAAAGGAAGATGAAAGGCTGGCCTTTTCTGAAGAACGTGATGGTCCAAATCGGAATCCAGCTCGGTGTTGTTCTGATAGGGATATTGATTTTCCAGTTTGTGAATGCTAAATTGACATGAGAGAGCCATGAAGAAACCAACGGTACTTACATCTCATATCAAACGGTTTATTAGACTCACTCAAGAGAATATGAAATTGATGTTTGGACGACTAATCAATCGATCCTCGACTGATTGGATTGGTGTTTGTTTCTTTCATTAAAATCATATGAGAGTGTCAAAGAAAAGAAGCTATCAATGAAGGAAGATAACTAGTGAATAATACAAGATTTAATCAAATCATACTCTGTTTTATTACTAGTTCAAGTAAGTAACATTCAACTTTATCAAAACAGAATATATATTAATGATACATGAAATAAATGGAAAAAATTGGACCCATCAACATCAGTCGAGTGAAAATAAAATAAAAAAGTCGCCACTAATGTTTAATTTGTTTAAAAAAGATTCAACCGTTTTGTCCGTGTTGAACTCGCGTTTTATCGTACACCCAAAACGATGCTTAAAACGCTGGTTTTGCTTCTATCAGAGATTTTTGGGGGCAACGGAGATATTTGTTTTTAGGGCTTTTTTTTCTTTTCATCGTCGTCTCAGATCCTGCTAAAGGAAATAACTTTTGCTCTAGATTCTTCACTCTCAAGTTTTCTCCTTGTTGGTGTCGCCGTCGTTCTCGTTCAACATTTTCCCGATCTTCAGTCACCGGCGTTTGTCCCGACTTGGGTTCCGGAGGATTCACGACCTTTCTCGGGTGGACTTTTCGATCAGACAGATAATTTTGAGATTAGGTGGTATAAAATTTAAAATTTGTTGGGTGTGTTTTGGTTTGGTTTGGTGATGATGATGATGTTGACCCGAACTGTTGGGGTCTGAACTAGTATGGAAGTGAAACTGTAGCAAATAGAAAAAAGAAGAAGCAGATAATGAACCTTTACATTCGCCGCGAAGCTTCTAAGGTTCTTCTTTGTCTTTCTTATTCTTCTTCTTCTGATTCTGATTTATCTGTGGAAATTGGCTGATTTAGTAATTGGCTCATTGTTCTGTAGCTATGGAAGAGATTGTGTTCGGAAATAACGACGGAGATTGGTCTCCTCGCCGAGAACTGGAAATACCTTCTTGCTGGTCTTCTCTGTCAGGTTTCCCCATCTTTTCACAATTCAGTTTTCATATTACTTCAGTCTGTAATTGAATACTTGAGCTGCGTATATATTTTGAATTACGACACTTTTTTTGCTCTTAGAGTAGATTAATGTTACAATCATGGTTTGTTATACCTATAGTTAATTTAGGCCTTGGGACTTGGGAGAAATTAAAGCACAAGACTTGGAATTACCCTCTCTCTCTTTTTTTCTTCTTACTACTTTTTATGGATTTATGTCTCCTTTGGTTTCTTAGGTTCAACTTAGTCTTGATTAGGTGTTAGTTTTGAAACTTATTTGATTCATCTGTTATGTGCAGTATATTCATGGTTTAGCTGCTAGGGGAGTTCATTATATTCATCGGCCAGGACCAACGCTTCAAGATTCTGGATTTTTTGTTCTTCCGGTTTGTCTCAAATATTTCAGCTGCTTTGGTTGATCCCTTATTCTTCAGTTTAGATGTTATATTTAAGCTCTTATTGGCTTTTCACATTTTAGGAGCTTGGTCAAGATAAAGGCTACATAAGTGAAACTGTGTTCACTTGTGTTTTTGTTTCATTTTTCCTGGTGAGTTTCATCAAGATACGAGGATCCATCTCTGGTTCTGATCTGACTAAGCAAGCAGCCTTTATATGAATGGTTTTGTTTCGCCTTAAATATTGCAGTGGACTTTTCATCCTTTCATCGTGAAAAGCAAGAAGATATACACTGTGTTGATATGGTGCAGGGTTCTCGCCTTCTTAGTTGTAAGTGCCCTTTGCCCTTTACTAAGTAAAATAAATTCAATTCAAAGGTTTACCTCTTAGAAGTTGTTTGCCAATTGTTTCCATTAACAGGCTTGTCAGTTTCTCCGTATTATAACATTCTATTCGACTCAGCTTCCTGGTCCTAACTATCACTGTCGAGAGGTAAAACTAAATATAGACCTATACAACAACGGGCCCCCTAATTCACTATTGGCATTCAAGTGTTTCTTGTGTTACATACAGGGTTCTGAGCTTGCCAGGTTGCCACGGCCACATAGTGTGCTTGAGGTGCTCTTGCTTAACTGTGAGTTTTGAGCATTTCCCCTTCCTTCAACACATCTTTTTATGTATGTTTTCTTCTTATGTGATAATACGCTGATCTTATCAGTTCCTCGCGGGGTGATATACGGATGTGGAGACCTGATTTTCTCTTCGCACATGATATTCACACTAGTCTTTGTCCGCACTTATCAGAGATACGGTTCTAAAAGGTATAAAGTATCTCTAGTCATGTCATAAAACAAAAACGGAAATATCATCTCTATAATACCTTGTAAATGTTCTCTCAGGTTCATAAAGCTGTTAGGTTGGGTCATTGCCATTTTGCAAAGCCTCTTGATTATTGCATCCCGTAAGCATTACACAGTTGATGTGGTTGTTGCCTGGTATACTGTGAACTTGGTTGTCTTCTTCCTGGAAAGCAAATTACCAGAATTGCCTGATCGAACAATGGTGTTGCTTCCTGTGATCACGAAAGACAGAACCAAAGAAGAGAACCACAAACTCTTGAATGGGAACGGTGTTGATCCTGCAGATTGGGTACGCATCTGAATTAGTATTCAAATCTGGTTGAAACCCCAATCAATAAATGTGTATAAAATTGTTGACCCTTTTGGTGTAACAGAGGCCGAGAGCTCAAGCGAATGGCAAAGACAGCAATGGGGGTCACACTGACAACACTACCAATGGCGCATGAGAGCTCAGCTCCAGTATAGTTTTCTAGTTGTTGATCATTTGTAAATTTGATTATATGACTAAGTTGATCAAGGAAAGAGCACGAATGCAGTTTGTATATCCTCACTTCCTTGCTTCTAAAGTAATCTGATGTGTGTTAGGGATCTTACACTAATGATAAATGATGAAAATATAACCAAAACGCCAATGGTAACCATTTTTTTTTGCTATGTTGTCCATAGTTATGAAACATTCTAAAATCGCCATTTTTTAACCCTCTTGAATCTTGATGCGGTGTAGTAGAGCCGTTTGATTGAAAACTATAAGAGTCTTACTGTTTTGAAGCTACGACAAACATCTCAAAGACCAAATAAGTTTAAGTTAGCAATCATCATCATATATATAAGAGTTTGCTCATGGAATAATGTAGTATGGAGGAGACGTTTTAAACAAACAGAAACATTTGGGTGGGGTGAAGAAATATGGGAAATGTGATAGAGAGGGGAACGTGGCGTATGTCGGTAAGGGGAATGTGGTCAAAGGCACATCCCATGTGGGCTCACATGTTTCTTTCATCTTCTTCTTCTTCTTCTTCTTCATTCTCACGACACTTGTAACTTTGTCATCCCAAATCTCTCTCTCCTTTTCTCTTTCACATTTTTTTCGGTGCTCATACTATATACACTCCCAAAACACTCCAACGAACCATAATTTTGTTTTCTTGGATATTTTGTTTGGCTCCTAGCTATAACCATTATGGTAGAATCGGTTATCTTTTGAGGCTCGTAAATTAATGGAGGATAAAGCTTTTTCTACATATGTCTTTCTCCTTTATGTTAAAAATTCGAATTTGTAATGAAGCTGTAACCGATGTTTAAGTATTATATTATAATAGCCTATAGGGATGGTTGTCAACTTCATAGAACATGCTAATTGAATAGTATATATACAAAAGAGTACGTAAGATAGATTAGAAACATGGTAATTGGTGGTCCAAAACATCACTTGTGTGTTAAAGATGCTCATGATATATTTTGATTATGGATTTATTTAAGAAAGGTTATAGCATACTATCAAGTATCAACTGTTTTTTTTCTTCTGAGTGCAGCCCTACCGATCGAATAATATTGGACCTACTGCTTAGATGCAAATATTTGATAAAGTCTATGTTGTCTTCCTTCTTTTCTTTTGTGGTTAGATATTGTTTCTTAGGATTCGGTGTCGATCACATTCTCAAAGATTACTTGGCGTTTGACGATTGGCTAATCTTTATTCGCTTCGAAGCTGCAAAAGATAGGAACGAACATGACATATGATAAACATATATGGTTTTGATATGAATGCAATGATATTGATCATTAGTTGTTTTCAATGTTTCATAAAGGAACGAGTAATCTCATTTTTTTCTTTGTCATGAGTCATGATGATGCACCTTTCTTTACATGTTTGGCTGGCCTCTATACTTTGTTATGTCGGATTCTTCGATAATTATTGTTGTAGTATTTTGAGTGATTATGATAAAAGAGCTAGGGTCCTTTGGTGTCACATATATGGGTAGTAAAATCATTAATTCGAACGCAAAAAGACAAAGACATTATCATTATACCAACTGTGTCTTGATATATGTATGGTGTGTTTTAGCATGAAGGTTTTGATTTTTATTAGTGTTTAGACAAATCAATACTTAACAAGTGTGTATAGCGTGGAAAGTAATGTAACGGCCGCTTACCAACACACACACATGAAGTAATAACTAATAAGGTCTCTTTAAGATAGATAATTTATAAGGGAAGATATTGTGTCCTCAAGGCTCAAGCAAATTATTTGCGTTATCTCTCCCATAGCTGAGCCAGAACCAAACAATTTTAAAATATGCATTTGTTTTATGATTTCCAAAAAGTTCAAAAATGGAGATAACGTGTATCAAACATTTGTAAATCGTTTCTTCACCAAAACGACAACTTTTGAATCAGTGAAATTAAGTTGCTAATAATTGAACCAAAGTAAAATGAATATGAAAGTTCTTACTGTTCATGAGATATGAATGTACATCTTAAGACACCGTAAAAGAAACAATAGATGTGTTGATTCGGACACAAACACCGACACATGCTCTAGATTTTTCCCGGACCCTTTATGATATATAGCTATATAGTATATATGTTAACCCAAGAACTCAACTTGAAGATAACTTCAACCACTAGTGTTTTCATGGTCGTCGTGGCCAAATAACCTTAACATACACTTTTATGATAGAAATCTTTAAATATAAGATGTGTATTATTGTAGTTTATTACAAATGTATGAATTCATAATAATACTCTAAAAAGGGTTAGGCAGCCAAAAAAGAAAAAAAAAAAAGAAACTAAAAAAGTCAAATCGCCATGAAATGGGTCTAATGATGAAGTTCACGCGGTTTCAACATGAAAAAAGTGTTTTTGCTTTTCTTGTGCCTTTATTTTCAACGGTTAAACAGTAAAAAACAAAAGATTTCACTATTAGAATTTCACCCCTATGCTTGATATTGTGGGCATATGTACTACATACTTTCAAAAAATGTATCATACATCATGTCTATAATTTTTCCTATATTTTTATTTATTTGGTCTTAAGTTTCATAAAAAAAATATACATATTTGAAAAAAAAAATTGCCTGGTAAAAAAATAACATGTTCTAATGTTTTACACAACAAGAAAAAAAAATGAAATTTGAAAAAATGCCAACAAATTAAAGAAGAAAATAAAGGAATTTCAAAAAAGTTTAAAAAGAGAGAGGCGCAAAGTTTTGTGGCAAAAACAACTTTCGGATAAAAACATTTAAATATTAATTATTATTATAAAAAAAAACAAAAAAAACAATTCACTTTGCAGAGAGAAGTCTGAAAACGCCGAGAAGAAGAAGAAGGAGAAGAAAGCTTGAGACTTTCCTCTCTGCTCATTTCGAGATCGATAAAGACTTCTCTTTTCGGTGCTTAACAATGACAGCTTTCGTTTTCGTATAGTTCGATTTCTCCAAACTGCTCTCTCGATTCTGTATCGTAGTCTCCGATCACCTGATTTCATCAAATGGGAGCTCGTTGCTCTAAGTTCTCATTCTGCTTGTTCCCTTCTCACTTCAAATCCGCTTCAGTCCTCGAATCTCCTGATCTCGGTTTGGTTCTGTTCTTAAAGATTTCTCTTTTCCATATTTGATTTTGAGGCTTTGTCTGATTTGTGTGTTTATCTTCTCTCTTGGTAAAAGACAATGGAGGCAAATCGTGGCCGAGTTTTAAAGAATTCAAACTGGAGCAGCTGAAATCTGCTACGGGAGGTTTCTCTTCGGATAACATTGTATCAGAACACGGCGAGAAAGCTCCTAATGTTGTCTACAGAGGAAGGCTTGATGATGGTCGCCTGATCGCTGTTAAACGATTCAATCGCCTCGCTTGGGCTGATCATAGACAGTTCCTGGTAATTCAAACACCCTTCAATGCCCTCATCTCTGCAAAGATTTGATTTTTAGGGGGTCTAAATCGAGGAAATGTTGTTTGTTTGATTAGGATGAAGCGAAAGCTGTTGGGAGCTTGAGGAGTGAGAGATTGGCTAATCTGATCGGATGTTGCTTCGAAGGAGAAGAGAGATTACTCGTTGCTGAGTTTATGCCTCACGAAACGCTTGCAAAGCATCTTTTTCACTGTTAGTTCTAATTGTGATTCTTTCATGAGATTGTGAAGTTTCTTGGTGATGCAATTGATCGGATGTTTTTGTGTGTTGTAGGGGAGAATCATCCGATGAAATGGGCGATGAGATTAAGAGTTGCAATGTGTTTAGCACAAGCATTGGAATACTGCAGTAATAAAGGGAGAGCTTTGTATCATGATCTTAATGCTTACAGGGTTTTGTTTGACAAGGTGACTACATTGATTCAGTCTTTCCTTATTTTCCTCACTGATTTGTATTTCAAGTTGTAAATTTTGCTTATTTTTTGTTGGTTTACAGGATGGGAATCCAAGGTTGTCTTGCTTTGGACTCATGAAAAATAGTCGAGATGGGAAGAGTTATAGCACAAACTTGGCTTTTACTCCTCCAGAGTATTTGCGAACGGGTAAAAAACACTCTCTGATTCATTTTTATATATATGTCCCTTAGCTTCCAAAGTGTTTCAGGGCACAAAGTTCCCAAGGCTAAATCCACTTTTTTGTTCATCTTGTGCCAGGTAGAGTTACACCAGAGAGTGTAGTATTCAGTTTTGGAACCGTTTTGCTCGATCTCATGAGTGGAAAACATATTCCACCGAGCCATGTAGGTCCTCTACTAATAAATGATATACAAACTTTAGATGTAATGTAGGACCTGGTTCATTGTTTCCTGCTGGATAGATGTTGGAAAGAATCTGTATTCAATCCTCACTAAAATCCAAATGATGTTCATCTTTTTCCTGCCTCATCCTTTCTCAGTGACTCTAATGTTGCTTGTATACAGGCGCTCGACTTAATCAGGGGTAAGAACTGTGCAATGTTAATGGATTCTGCTCTCGAGGGTCATTTCTCAAATGAAGACGGAACTGATCTAGTACGCTTAGCCACACGTTGTCTGCAGTATGAAGCTCGTGAAAGACCAAATGTCAAATCTCTTGTTACTTCACTTGCCACACTCCAGAAGGAATCTGATGTAGCTTCATATGTTCTTATGGGTATCCCCCATGAAACAGAGGCTGAGGAAGAGCCTTCGCTTTCTTTGACACCCTTTGGTGATGCATGCTTAAGAGTGGATCTTACAGCCATACATGAGATACTTAATAAGGTTGGATACAAGGACGATGAAGGAATTGCCAATGAGGTATATTAATTTATTCTTTCTTTTGCTCACTTCTTAGTCTTTTGCATTGGAGACATGTTATGAATATGATTTTATATAACTTCTTCTGCAGCTCTCCTTTCAAATGTGGACCAACCAGATGCAGGAATCTCTCAATTCGAAGAAGCAAGGCGACTTATCTTTCCGTTCCAAAGATTTTACAACCGCAGTCGATTGCTACACTCAGGTAATATCTACAAATGCAACATTGTACTTCTTTTTCATCTGGATTAAATATACCTAAGAATTTGTTATTTTTGAAAAAATTTCATGCCAAGAGTAAGCTATGTATGTCCATTGTAGAGATAGACATTGATTCAGTCATTAAATCGAAAATGACTGGTTTGTTTTATGGTATAGTTCATAGAAGGAGGAACAATGGTATCACCAACGGTTCACGCACGGCGCTGCTTGTCATACCTGATGAATGAGAACGCACAAGAGGCTCTGACCGATGCATTGCAGGCACAGGTTGTGTCTCCAGAATGGCCAACCGCTTTGTATCTTCAAGCAGCTTGCTTGTTCAAGCTCGGTATGGAAGCCGATGCTCAGCAAGCTCTTAAGGACGGGACTACATTGGAAGCTAAGAAGACTAACAAGCGCTACTAAATAGCGTTTTCGAAAGCTTTGTATAGGCTTATTTTGTTCCTTCTCTCTATCTCCATCTATATGCACATACACATATGTGGGTGTATCTATATATATATGCATATACTTTTGATGCCTTCTTCTTCTTTGTATTTATTTTCCGAATCATGGTGATGCTTGTGATTTCTAGTGTGCCTCATGGGAAGGTCTCTCTGAGAGAATTTTTTCGAGCTTCGTCCATTCATCAATCAGTTATTTTCCAATGAACATTCTTATGAAATTTGGTATTCAGATGAGAATTAACTTAGAAGAAACTTGATTGTATGTTTATATGTCCATTAATAAAAAAAAATCCCATAAAAAATGGTAAATAAAATACCTCATGGCTCAATTGTTTTGTAATTTCGATAATGATTCTAAGACATACGATTGAACATGACATACTTATATATATAGAAGAAGAAAACAAAACAATGGTTTCATAAAGTTGTTATAATACTGGAAATGTTAACTAAGAAAACAGATACAAAAATCAGACTCACTCACTTAGTATCCTCTTCTCTAATATGAATCAATGGATGATATATCGCATCAAATCATAGAAAATGTAAGATACGGTCCATTACATATGGATCATCAATCGAAATATTAAATATAAAGTATATAACACACACTTGTGGAATTAACGAACATTTTACATAGGAGCCGGAGCTAGAGCAGGAGATGAAGCGTCTTCGGAGGCTGGCGCAACCTCGGAGACAGGTCCTGGAGCTGCGCCAGAGCTGAGGATCTCCAACATCGAACGGTGGGGATTCATTCGTTGAGCATCGCACAGATCAGGTAAAAACGCACCTGCATGTAGTCAATTAGAAGGTTACGTACGTCAATAATTTTACACTTTTTTGCAACATTGGGTTTATTTATTTACTCCCAAACCTAAAATCATAGAAAAAGAGAATCGCTATTATTAAAATAACAGAATCATGTTAAGTGAAGCATAACTATCAAAAAACACTAAATTCCTTGCTTTGACGATAAGAAATACCAAAAAACATGAAAGTGATTATTTTCATGCATGTTGTGTAAGAAACTCGGCGAATCTACCAAAAACACACAAAATATATATGATTCTTACTTCATTAGTAAGCCATGATAAAGATCATAATTTACATACTTTCTACTTTTCTAGTTAATCACGTACATATATATACCTTGAAGAAACTTTCTTATTTTGGTAAAAATACAAAATTTGTTGCAAAAGAATAAACTAGAATTGCATAATAACATCTTCTAACCAAAGTCTATATTTTCCACATATAATTCATATCGTAAACGAAGACCTTAGACCTAATGCATGAATCATTCATTATTATAATTTTCGTTTTCAAGGCTTAAGGGAATAATAATAATTATGGTACCTTCACCGGCGGCGAGATTGAAATAGAGATCAAGAATGTTAGGGCAATAGTCCAAGCAAGCCGGTGAGCAAAGCTTAGAGGCAAATCCTGATTCCATCAATGCGTCAGAGGAGATCCCTACGGTTTTCCGATCAACACCACAAGCGGAAACGCACTCGTCGCTCTCCACGTGGTTAACAATCCCTTCCACGTCAACGGCGGAAGTCCGGCAAGTGAATTCTCCGGCGACATTAGCCGTCTCCAACAAACATCTTTTCCCGGAAGCCGATATTGAGAACGCGCACATATTCGTTGGCAGATTCTCGCAAATAATGTTCTCCCCTACACAACAATTTATAGGAAACAATAAAAAAACATAAGAACGCATGGAAACAAAGATAATTCACATGAGCTAAGGATTAAACGATTCCGTAGCCATATATATAGTTTATCTTAAATCGATGGTTAACATTTAAATCTTAGTTTCTAAGGAACGATCGAAGAATATAAATGTTTGTAACGTACCTAAAGCTGCATGGAGAAGAGATGAGAGAATGAGAAAGATTGGCAATTTGAGGGAAGAATAAGACATATTGCTTCTGAGTTTTTCTTTCTCTCTTTCTCTCTTCTAATTCTCTTTCTCCTTTGTTTTTGATTTTGAGGGGTTAAAGATTTTGAACCTCCTTGATGTTTTCAAGGGAAAGAGTACGCGTATATGTATGTTGAAGGGAATATTGTGGGTGTGGGGGGCTTTATATACACGAATGATTTGTATTTACTATTTTTTATTTTGTTTGCTTTATTACATTTCTCCAAATATGGTGTTGTACTATAATAGTAAGAATTGTATTTTTGTCAACAGTCAAGATTACATGTTGTATAGTGTAGTTGCAATTTTTTACTTTCCTTTTGTGTTAGGTATGTTCTATAGCTATTCCTATTTTAATGTTTCTATGATCTAATCGATTTATAAATGCATATTTTGTAGAAAATCGTAAAAACGTCATAAACTTGGGAAGTGGGCATTCCGATAAATTATAATTTTGTTAGTAAAGTAAACCTAATTGTAGTTTGTTCAAAGGTTGACAAAAGTTTGAATACGGATTAATTAAGATGATGAATGTATAATTGAGTTTAGCTGAGTGTATTATCAACGATTCAATGAACTAGGGCTTTAAATCCAGATTCAACAACTTGTTTTTTTTACCTCAGTATTTATTTTTGGTCATCATAAACTCTTGCTCGGATTCTCTAAACTGTCCACATGATATACTAGTAGTATTTAACCATTAAATGTTTGGGGAGACGTAATCAAAAGTTTGAAACAATATTGTAAAAAGATTTAGTTGGATTATCTTTTTCATTGGAGGAGTACTAAAGACTTTTTATGGTGAGGGGTGTTGTTGTTTCTTGTAAACAAAGCGACGTGCGTACAATACATGTCTTCACGTCCGTCTTTGACTCAACGCGTTACTTCAAGATTATATCCTCTCTACCTAAGTCGTCTACCTATTACATATACGAGATCAATATAACTTTTTTTTTTTTTTTTTTTTGAGATCAATATAACTTGTTACTTGGTATTGTTTCGTTTGACTTGAACTAGTACGATTGGAAACTCAAAATTCATCCTAAATATGTTATTCTATGATAACTCTAATATTTTCAGTTACCAAAAGAAAAAAAAAGTCTAATACATGTGCCATTAACTAGTTAGTTGTTTATCTTCTAACGTATACAAATACTTTACGCTTTGATGCAGCATCACCCCGGGTAATATACATGCATTACAGCCAACATTAATCCTCTGACTTTTTCTAAAAATGCATTGGTCACTTCTATAATGTTTATTTATTTATTTGCATTATATTATTGGTTTATCTGACATCAAATCTAAATTTGCTTTGGTTGGCCACCCAAGCCTAATAAAAAGAATATCATTTGGGTGGGCTTAAGATAAATAAAAATTTAACATTAAGGCCCACTCCTACTAAATCCTTTCACAAATAAAAGAAGCCACGTGTCGTGTCACAAGATAAGTAGAGAACCCACATTGAATCGAATCCTTCGTCCACCTCACATTCCGCATATCCGATCCTTTTCCTCCCTCCACCAAAACCAAACCCATTCCATTTTTTTTTTCTTTTTTTCAAAACAACAGAGCCCAAAACGTGAAAAAAATGGCAGCAACAACGTCGTCGTCTCACCTTCTTCTCTCAAGCTCACGCCACGTGGCTTCATCACCTCAGCCTTCAATCCTCTCTCCGAGGTCTCTCTTCTCCTTCAACGGCAAACGATCATCAACTGCTGTGAGAAACCATCACTATGTTGGGAGTGGAGTGAGGTGTATGGCTGTGGCGGCTGATGCTGCTGAGACGAAAACTGCGGCGAGGAAGAAGAGTGGATACGAGCTTCAGACGTTGACGAGCTGGTTGTTGAGACAAGAGATGAAAGGTGAAATTGATGCTGAGCTGACGATTGTTATGTCCAGCATATCCATGGCTTGTAAGCAGATCGCTTCACTTGTTCAACGTGCCGGAATCTCTAATCTCACCGGAGTTCAAGGCGCCGTTAATATCCAGGGAGAGGATCAGAAGAAGCTTGACGTCATCTCTAATGAGGTCCCTTTCTTTATTATTTTACACACTTGCTTTTGTTTTCTTTTCGATTAACTTATTTTAGACTTTAGTTTTGTTAAGCTTTTAATATGTAATGTAACCTTGCTAAGGTAGACCACTTAATTTTACTAAACATAAAAACTATAGGTTATACATGGATCTTGGTAGATGGATTAATAAAAAATTTGAGTGGTGGTGTGTGCAGGTGTTTTCCAACTGCTTGAGATCAAGTGGAAGAACAGGGATCATAGCATCAGAGGAAGAGGACGTGCCAGTAGCGGTGGAGGAGAGTTACTCCGGCAACTACGTCGTCGTTTTTGACCCTCTTGACGGTTCCTCCAACATTGACGCCGCCGTCTCTACCGGTTCTATCTTCGGTATCTACAGCCCCAATGACGAATGTATTGTCGACGACTCCGAAGATATCGCAGCTGTATACTACTCTTCCTTTCTTATCCATTCTTTGTTTATAAATGTAGTGATCAAAAGTGTTCTCTACGGTTTGATTTTTATTTGTAGTTTTATCTTTAGGAGATAAATATCCCTTTTGGCTTATAATGTTGTTGCAGCTTGGGTCAGAAGAACAAAGGTGTATAGTAAACGTGTGCCAGCCAGGGAACAACTTGCTAGCAGCTGGCTACTGTATGTACTCGAGCTCAGTTATCTTCGTTCTTACTCTAGGCAAAGGCGTTTTCTCCTTCACGCTTGATCCAATGTACGGTGAGTTTGTCCTCACGCAAGAAGACATTCAGATCCCTAAAGCCGGTAGAATATACTCTTTCAACGAAGGGAATTACCAGATGTGGGACGATAAACTAAAGAAGTACATTGATGACCTCAAGGACCCTGGTCCAAGTGGGAAGCCTTACTCCGCAAGGTACATTGGAAGTTTGGTCGGAGATTTCCATAGGACTTTGCTGTACGGTGGTATTTACGGGTACCCTCGTGATGCAAAGAGCAAAAATGGAAAGCTTAGGCTTTTGTATGAGTGTGCACCAATGAGTTTCATTGTTGAACAAGCCGGAGGAAAAGGGTCTGATGGACACCAGAGAGTACTAGATATCCAACCGACTGAGGTAACTCAAATCAAATATAAATTTCGGTTTGATTAGATTCTTATGCCACCCTACTGCTGAGTTTACATCTAAAATTGGAATACCTGACACAGATTCATCAGAGGATTCCACTATACATTGGAAGCACAGATGAAGTGGAGAAGCTAGAGAAGTACTTGGCTTGACTCTTGTACCAAACATAAGCCATTTAATTTCTATTGTAAGCCAATTTCTGATTACATGGTACATGCGCATATAGATGCATAAATGGTGAAAGTCATATTTTGTTGTTGATATGAATAGAGGGAAACCAGCTGTTAAACTATAGAGCCAAAAAGAAAACATGTTTAATTTATACAACTTACATGTAGTACTAGTTAGGAGCGACCAAAGGGCGGATAGCATTTTCATGTTTCACATATCTTTTCAAGAATTAACACGCATAGTTAGACAAAAAGCAGAGGATCTTGTATCAGTAGTCTTGGAGTCAATCGTCGTCTTCCAGTTCAGTCAATTGTCTGTACTGTCACTCTCTGCCTATAACACTTGGCTATATGAAGAGAAGAATGGCTTGAGTTAGGGAGAGGATCAATACATTTTGGAAATTCAGAGTATGATAACATCAATTGGAGAATGAGTAAGCAAAAGTACCAGGACTCAAGATATGATTGCATTGTGTTATGGACTTTGCAGCGGTCTTGGCTTCATATCCTGGAAGTGAAGCATCAATAATGAGTGAAAAAGGCAGATATATATCTGTAATCAAATGCAGACCAGAAATACTCACCTTGACTGTTCATGTCTTTCTCTTGAGTCACTTCAGTCTCGGTTGATGTATATTCCAAAAAGGACTGGTCAGACTCGAGATTACCACCTCCTGATCCAAGAGACGACCTGTGATACAGATTAGCGTATGAGTAGACATCAAGAGATAATAGCCAATTTTTTTTTAAAAATGATCCTACAAACTAACCACATACCATGGAACAGTTTCAATGGGTGCATTTGAGGCCTGTAACAAGCAATTATTTGTACTTCCTCCACAACCAAGATCAAAATCAACCAGTAGCTCCGAGAGGGTGTAGTTTTCACCCAAGAAATCTAGATTAGAAAAGTCCATGTCAAATAAATCAACTTCTGGCTCAGACCCGGATGGAGAAGCAGAAACCAAATCTTCAGTGGTAGGTGCCTCTAAGCACATTTCTGTATCAGCGTCATCAAAGTTGAGCTTTCCTTTCACATGGTCTCTCTTATTTGACATCTTCAGGGTAGACTTGACTGGTGAAGAAGAAGAAACTAGATGACTTCTTTCAACTGAATAAGAAGTAATTTGCTTGAGGGGGCTGATTGTGAATTTCTCCTTTGTAACAATTGTGCAGTTGGTAGGAGTAACTTCTTTCTGTGGACTCTTGAACTTATCAATCCGAGGAGAATCATGTTTTTGTGGTGTCCCAAGGCATGCTGAACTAGTAGGTTTCGATGAATCTGCCTTATTGAACAAACACTTCACCACACTTGACCCGTGACCAATCAATTCATTAGTTGCAGAGGTTTTGGCCAATGTAAGTGTTTCAGATGGAGTTTGGGATGATAAGGAGTAAGCTACTTTATCAGTTTGTGTGATCTTATTAGTCTCTGGTTCAATAAAAACGACACAATAAGTTTAAGAGTACTGGAGATTCAAAGGGAAGTACATCAAATTTAAATAAACCTGGTAGGCATAGAAACATACCATCTCCTTTTGTAATTCCTTGTGCTGAAGTAATCCGCACTTTCCTAGTTACCCGAGGAGCTCCTATAGAAACATCAGGGCCCTTTCTTTTCCCGGTTACAGACCGAGTGGTCGAAGGTGTGGAATAATCCCCTAAATCTACTCTTTTGTTACCAAGCAATGACACTGACATAACATTTGGTGTGTTGTACTGAGCTAGGCCTGAAAAACAAGAACACATTATTAGTTCCAAATGCATAAAATAGCAGCAAAGAGCTGGAGAGAGCCACTTCAATCAATATGAAGATCCAAAGCAAGCTAACCTAGTAATCGTTCCAAAATTAGAACCAGCTAAAAAGAATAACAAAAGCTGAAAAACCTGAAGAAGAGACGCTGTGGTGATTCTGCCGAGAAGCTGGAACTGTAGCCGGAGGAGGAGGAGGAACGGTGAGGCTGGCGTTGTAAGTATTCATCACATTCTGCATCCCCTGCATCAGATTATGAACCCTAATCTTCTCCTGATCCACTATCACTCTCTCCTGATTAATAGTCACTTTCTGCTCCTTTAGAGAAACGTAATCGTTCAACAAAGCATCAAGAGTCATCAAACTATTCGGAACCTGCAATATCAAAATCCCCAAATATTAAAACCCATTAAGACTTTTTTCTCAATCCGATTAAATAAAATCAAAAACTTTGAGGGGTTCTTTGTTTTTTTTTGTTTTTACGTACATGGCGAATTGGGGAGTTGGAGAGGAGAGAGGAAGCTTCAGATCTAAAGATGGTTCGGGTTTCAGAGAATCGATTGTCGAAGAGGTAGCGATCCACGATAAAAGCGATTTGAGTTGGGGTAACTTCACCTTTACCGATATTACGCGATCCTCCTTTGGATCTGCTTGATTTACCCATGTCTTTTTGTTTCTGAATTATCAAAAACCCTAATTTAGACGAAGATGATGAAGTAAATAGAGAGACAGAGTCAGAGAGAGCGAAGTTGAAAAGACCTCAAGGCTGAAGAAGACGAGTAACATAACAGCGGGAGATTTTCAAAACACTCTTTGGGAACGGTGTCGTTTTTAAATTTTCGCCGGGAGATTGTGTTGGCGGCAGCTTAAATGTATTAATATCCCAGGAATCTGAATATATTAAAATTATTATTTGTACTATTTAATTATGATATTTTACATGTATTTTTTTATGATACATAAAAAGAAAAAAAAAATCAAAAAACATACTTTAGTATGAAAATTATTGTTTATTATACAATAGTATGAAACTGATTGAAACACTAAGTACTAATTTAATAGCAGAATGTTTATTTTCATATATTTTCTAAAATATTTCAATCCTTTTTCCAATACTAATTTACCTCCGTATGATATAATATAATTAAGTAAAATAATTTAAATGGTGCATATTAAAAATTTCAAAGTAAAAATCGTCGAGGGAATGAAAGCTCACCTGAATTAAAATTCCAATAAAATGCATTTCAGAGTAATAAGAAATAAAATAAAATATAAATCATTATATGTTGTTTTTTTTGTTAAGATGATAAAAAAAGAAGAAGCATTTTTGGGGTTTACCAAAGAGCAATTACCACAGTGACAAGAAAGTAAAATATAAATAGAAATAACTAAAAAATCAAAAAAAAAATTAACAGAAACGAGGTGAGGGGGAGACAAAAGTTGCAACCTTTAAACGCTTTTCACAATTGTCCAAGTGCTTTCCGAATCCTAACCCCATCCTTCTCTGTCCTTTCTCTCTCTTCTCCACCATCATCACATCACTTTACTCTCTCTCCATCTCGGGAGATCTCATTCTCTCATTTCAAACCCTAGAAACTCTCTAATCACAATCTCTTTCTACTTCATTTATGGCGAGCTTCAGTCTCTCCAGGTCACTCCTGCTTCTACTCCTCATGATTGTCATCGCATTGTTTTCAAGATTCTCGATTTCGGAAGCTACCTCATCTTTCTCGTTCACCAGTTCCGATAAAAACGCGAGCTTCAAGTCCAACGAAATTGCCCTGTTCGGCGACGCTAAGCTCGTCGACGGCGGATCTTCGATTCAGCTGACTGACTCAGTGTCTCTCGGTGGTGGGCGGGTCGTCTACAAGAAACCCATTGAGTCCGTGGATACTGTAACCGACTATTTCGTGGGATTCTCTACTGTTTTCTCTTTCTCCATGTCTCCTGGTCGTGGTGGGAGACTCGGATTTGTGGTGTTCCCTGCTAACGGAACATTTGATCAACCTTTACTCCAAGTTAAGTTCGATTTTTCTGAGAATTTCACTAAGTTTAGAGATTCGAATGTCACTGTGATTGTGGATGGTACTACGGTTTCTCATAAGATTAACAATCTCACGATTGTACTGGACAAGGAGAAAAAGGACAACTTGTTGTTGTACGCTTGGATTAGTTACCAAGCAAGTGGCAGGTTCATAGATGTTCATTTATGCAGATCAGAAAGCTTTAAAGCCGTTCATTCTCATTACATTTCTCGGATAGATTTGTTGAAAGAGACGGATGAGCTCATGGTCGGTGTTAAGTCATACAGCGGGAACTTTGATCTCCACTCTTGGAGATTAGAAGCGAGACATTTCCCGAGGAATATGCATTCTTATGCAGCGCTTATGGAATCAAAGCGTACAGGCGAGGAGGAGGCCAAGAGAAGGAGAAGAAAGAGGATGTGGGGGATTGTCACTTGCTTTGTCATGACCTTTGGATCAACAGGGCTTGTGTTCTTTGCCATGATGCATATATGGGCAGCATTCAAAAGAAACTATCTTGCTATTGTGATGCAAGAGGAGTGTGGGATCAAGACCAAGGAGTTTGGGTACGAGAAGATGGAGAAAATGGAAGTTGTGATGAGTAAAGCTGACGCCAAACAAGAAACGAAGTGAAGTCAAGTTTGGTGATTTTGTGTGTTTAGGATATGTTATATTTTTATGTAATCAAGTAGATTCTTGGGACTGTCATGGTACCACGAGGTTCTTCACTGGCTAATGTAGCCCTATCTTCATGTGTGTAAGCTTGCAATGTTATTACTCTTTGGCATTTTTAGTTTGATTTGGCATGTAAAAATGTGACAAGAAATGCTGTAGAATCCACGCCAAACTTGAGTGCATAGGATACTCGATTTCATTAGATGAAAAAAACAAATACCAACTCCTACATAATCAATAGATTTGTTATTCACGATCACTATAAGAACCAAATGTAGTTTCCCGTCATCTACACAAAATCTTCAACCGGAGACGAGCTTCAAGACAATGACTGCTGTGTTAATGAGCATGAGGGGGAGTCTCATGTACTGGCAGGCATGGATCAGACCAATAATTTGGCCTTTGGGAGAGTTTTTTCTACCAGTTTGGTGGAGTTCTACTAGTGTCCATCCTCTTGGAGCAAGGAAACGGTCTTCATTGAGGATTGCCAGTGCATTTGCAAAGAGCAGCAGACCTTTTATAAGTGTCCAGAAGCCCATTGTTCTCTGTGATGCAAAAGAGTTCAAAATGATCAGAATCTGGGAAAGAGACTGGAACAAAGTTGTTTGATTAGGTGTAGAAACATGATGGGATATAAAGCGTCTATTGAAGAGAAACATGAAGATCGCAGTGCAAAAAACTTGATTTTAACACATCAGGAGCCACCAGAGCTTTGTCATCGTTTGGTGTTATTGTTTATAAAGAATTGGACTTGTTCCTGCCTTGCACTAATATCTAAAATCTATATAATGGCAGGACAGTCACCGAGCTAGCATTTCATAATGTATAATGTATAGAATCTTCTCAGGATAAAAAAAATCATATAAGTAACACAAGTATGATGCACGGCAATTTCAAGGGTCAAAAGCAGCTCCAAGCACCAAGCTAAATGAATCCATGAGCACTAGATGAGATTATCTTACCAAGTTGGTTCAAGAACAGTAAACTTAAGTCAATCAGACAATCACAGCATCATGAGAGATTGAAAAAAGAACACGAATCCTAAGCTCAGCAGTTGCAGCAGTAAGATAACTAAGTTCCATCAAAAGCGAAGAAGACAGTCTATTGTTCCTAGGTATCAAACAACACGACCCCATTAATCACTAATCTAACATGTAGAAAGAGATGATAGAGACAAAGCCTGCACCGATTAAGCTAAGCTTGGTGTAGAAAACGGAGAATACAAATTCCTAATTAACGCAGAACAATGTTAATAAGGCATTTAAGCAGTGTAACAACTTAAGCAGGAACCTTAAAATTACGGAGCTAAACGTGAGATCGAAGCAGTAATTGAAGATCCAAGGTTGCTAATAGAAGAAGCAGCCAAACTAATCGATCTATTCCGACAAGGAAAACGAAAACTCCAAAATCTACGCAACCCAGTGAAGAACAATAAAACTAGAAATCGAGGAGCTGAATCGAGTGCGAAATTACCTTAAGAAATCGTACCGGCGGTGAGGATGGTCTGAGAATGAGAGAAATCAAATCGTCGGTGAGATCTTTGTGGAGGGTTTTATTTGTTTCTCCTTCTAAAATCTAAAACTGATTCTTCAGCCGTAAGAAAAAAGGAAGATAACCGGAACCGGGTTTTCATGGGTTGACCCGATTAGAATAGAAGTCGGGTCAGGACCCGATATGATTCAAAGAGGAAGATTTGGATAAACCCTGACATCAAAGTAAAAAACCCTCCAAATGGCTTCACTTCTTCTTTTTCCTCACCTTCACCATTTTGATTCTTCGCTAGATCGTAGAGAGATTGTAGTAGCTCGAAATTCACCAAAACCAAGGCAATTCCTCTCTCCGAGAGGTTCAATTAATGGCGGACTTAGAGTCGGAGCAGCAGCGGAAACCGCAGCTAAACCTAGTCGCAAAGGGAGGAAGAAGAAGCAGTCCTCGACGGTGATTGAGAAAGATGACACCGACAACGGTACTATCGAGACTGGTCCTGAATTGAATCCGGAGTTAGAGGATTACGACGACGGGATCGAGTTTCCTTACGACGATCCGCCTCTCGTGTGCTGCTTCGGTGCTGTGCAGAAGGAGTTTGTTCCGGTGGTGAGAGTCCATGATAATCCTATGCATCCTGACATTTACTCGCAGTGGAAGATGCTGCAGTGGGATCCGCCGGAATTTGGGAGAGCTCCGGGAGGTCCGCCGTCGAATGTGGCCATCTCTCATGTTCGGTTAGGTGGGAGAGCGGCGTTTATGGGAAAAGTCGGTGAAGATGATTTCGGGGATGAGTTGGTTCTGATGATGAACCAGGAGAGAGTTCAGACGAGAGCTGTGAAATTTGATGAGAATTTGAAAACTGCTTGTACTCGTGTCAAGATCAAGTTTGAAGACGGGAAAATGAAGGCGGAGACTGTGAAAGAGCCACCAGAGGACTCGCTTCTTGCTTCAGAGCTCAATTTAGCTGTACTGAAAGAGGTAAAAAGATTTTAGCTTTAGGAGGAACAAATTGGTTTTTTACTAATCGTATAAAAAGACATGATAGCTCAAGCTTACACTGCTTAGTTTCTTATTGAAAGTCTCTGTCTTGAGCATTAATCTTATTGCGAATGACTAATTTCTTAGTTCGTATATGATCTGGAGCATGAAACAGAGCACCTTAGCTTGCCTTTTAAGCTTTTTGTTTCTGTACTTGTGCTTCCAATGCAGGCCAGGATTTTTCATTTCAATTCAGAAGTGTTGACGTCTCCTACAATGCAATCAACTCTTTTCAAAGCGATACAGTGGTCCAAAAAGTTTGGAGGGCTTATTTTCTTTGACTTGAACCTTCCATTACCGCTATGGAGATCGCGCAATGAGACTAGGAAGTTGATTAAGAAAGCATGGAATGAAGCAAACATCATTGAAGTTTCTCAGCAAGAGCTTGAGTTTCTACTTGATGAAGATTACTATGAGAAGAGAAGAAACTACACACCGCAGTACTTTGCTGAGGATTTTGAGCAGACGAAAAACCGAAGAGACTATTACCATTACACACCAGAGGAAATCAAGCCATTGTGGCATGACAAGCTGAAGCTATTGGTTGTGACTGATGGAACACTTCGGCTTCATTACTATACTCCCACTTTTGATGGAGTTGTGGTTGGAACAGAAGATGTGCTTATAACTCCTTTCACCTGTGATAGGACAGGTTCTGGTGATGCAGTTGTTGCAGGGATAATGAGAAAGCTAACAACTTGTCCTGAGATGTTTGAGGACCAAGATATGTTGGAGCGACAGCTCCGGTTCGCAGTTGCTGCTGGGATCATATCGCAGTGGACAATTGGCGCAGTTAGAGGTTTCCCTACTGAAAGTGCGGCCCAAAATTTGAAAGAACAAGTATATGTTCCATCAATGTGGTAGAATAGAAGACAACTTGTACTAAATGTTTTTGAACAATATGTAATATTGATACACTGATTCAGTTTTGTAATCCAAATATGTACAATCAAATTTTGAGCTCACTGATAACAACCATGTGGAAGGCTATGATGAGCAGCTGATTCCCTATGAAATTTTTGTTTTGTTCTGTTCCAGCTTCACAAAAAAATGTTCTGGCTGATCCAAGCCTAGATGTTCATCGCCTCATTGATTTGTTTCTTGGAGATAATTGAAAATAATCAAGATTTTGTCTTAGTCGATATTGTGTTGTGGGTTTGAATTGGATTCGTGAAATGTGTGGTTTGTATATAGTTGATGACTTGAAGTCGGTGGTCAACAACAGTAAACTGCAAGGACAAATCCACAAGTGATGGCAATTTTTGTACTAATACAAATTGTAACATTGCGAAGTTATCTCTAGCTAGCTAGACAGTTGGAGAAGACAGCAGATCATGGAGGATTCTGATTCATAATAAAGCACATTGCACTATGGTCTATGGCGATGAATGAGGTAGCCCTCGCTTGTGTAGCAGTGTAGATAGAACTTCTCTTTTTGGGATCCTTTGTGCCTCGATGATGAGGATTGAGGAGGATGGAGATAGAACGGGGCACTTGAGAGAAGTGGAATGGACAAGGATAAATCAAGGAATACTTAGGTAATAACTTCTGCGAAATGTGCGATGCTTGATTATGTTCAACACATTGTTCAACAAAATAAACAAGAAATGGTCTTGTATGAGCCATGGATACATCATAAAACTAGTAGAATATGAACTGTGATACATTACCCAAAGCAACGAAGCTGGAAAAAGAATGTCTTCGTGTGGGTTTTATTTTTTTACAAGCAAAAGAAACTTGCTTCATATAAATCCTCACTTCTATTCTCTTACAAGAACTCTTAAGATGAGAGATGGATGAGTTGAGTACACGTTTATCATTTCAAAAATTATTTTAGATATATATATATATATAGGGTTTGAATAACGTTGGATGTTAAAACTTAAATATTTAGATTCACCATAAAATGAAACAATGGTGGAAAAGAGCATTAGATTGGTAATTCTTCAAAGGAGATGAACATTTAAATAGACACAACTCTTTGTAATATACACAATTATTAAAACAAAAAGAATTATGATAAAAAAAAAAAAGAGCACAAAATATGGTAGAAGTACACAACTCTAAATAAATGGATGCAACTTTGTAGACCAAAACATAACTGTAAAATGTACATTTTAGATTATTAAAAATCAAATAAAAATATTTTATGAAAGATTACGATGAAAATTTTAGAGAAATACCATTAGATACCAAAATTTAAGTTTTTTTCCAAAAATACCACAACTTTTTATTTATTTTTTTAAATTAGTACAAAATTTTTTAGTTTTTCAAAAATAACATAAACATCAAAAATTAAATTTGAAGAGGTAAATTTGTTTATTTAATATTTGGGCTGACAATTTGCATTTATGGTATAGTTTTTAGGGGTAGGGTTTAGTATTTAGGATTTATAAATTAGTTTTGAATGTTAAAAAATTAAATTTTAGTTTACCAAAAAAAAAAAAATTAAATTTTAGTTTTGTGGTATTTTTGGAAAATTTGTATTTTAGAGGTATTTTTGGAAAATAAGCATATAAATATTTTTGGAAAATACCTAATTTAGTGGTGTTTAATAGAATTCCCCCAAATTTGTAACTATAGAAAATATTTTTCAGGTTGTTATTACAGTATTATCCCTATTATTATGCATGCATGGTAGTAAATTAGGATACGTGAATGTTAGAAAGAAATTCTTAGATACAACTGATATATTCTATAGAGCAAATGATATTCTTGTGAAAACGTGAAGCAAAACATAACTAGAGCAATTTGATAGTTAAATTGAAAACTTGAAACAAATTTTAATAAATTGGCTTAATAATTTAATAAATTGATTAAATAGTGCCATAGGAGCATAATGTCTAACAGATAAAATAGAATTGTTGGAGTTTATATATATATATAATGTTACCTCAAGTTCTATAATATAAATTAAGTTGTTTGCATGTATATATAGTAGCACGACCCATGTTATAATTATTAAAATGATTTTAATAACATAAAATTAAAAACTATATATAAAAAAGGAATAAAAAATTAAGTAAAAGATGAGCAAAACATAAGTAAAATTTATATAATATAAATACTGCTACTTGTTAAAATTTATATAATACACATAAGTAAAATATTTAGGATCTCTTTTAGTGCTCTTTGTTGAGTAATTGTTAGTACCGGAAGGATCAACTAATATAAAAAAATCAACTTCTGATCTCAGAAGTCAGATTTGAAAGAAAAGAATACGAAAACTGAGAGAGAACTTAATGAAACGCACGCAAGTTGTATTATTGTCTATATATATAGTCATACGTACAATGCATATATAGAGATTGAATTTTACATTTTATTTTCATATAATTGATTATCCTTGAAAAAAGTTTAATATGTCGTCATACAGCCCACTTTGCATTGTACTGAACTATATATGCATGCATGCATCATATAATACGGTGAAATAATTACTATATATAGGCGTATGCGCCAAAATCAGTTGAGACTTATCGGTATGGTTAGAAGCGGATCAGCTGCTTGAATAATTGTAACCAGAAGCAGCAAATGGAAGAAAAAAATCATTTCAAGAAAAGATCATACGAAAACTGAGAGAGATCTAGAGAGAGCTTAATGAAACTGACTCATATGTTGTGTTATATATATATATATATATGTTAATTAGTAGCTTTTGCTTATTTATTTTGTGGTAGCGCGCATGCGAATATACTATTTAATTTTTAAGATTTGTTTGGAGCAAACTTACAAAGAGCTAAAAAAAACTTACAAAGAGCTTAATTTAGGATTTGAAACTCACGCAGCAACTTGTATATATACTTAGAAGGTAGATGTTAACGTTGTGCTCAAGGTAGATGTTAACGTTGTGCTCACTGTACTCCAAATTTGGTTTTTTTTTTTTTTTTTTTTTTGGAGTTTATGTATGACCACATGAATTTAAGTGTGGGAGATTTTACGAAAATTAGAAAATGGAATAGCTTTTCTTGTTGTAATATGGCTTAGACCACTTGGGCTTACCGAAGAAGGGTTTAAAAAAGATGTAAAGACAGCGGCGGATGCAGTAAAAGGAGTGTG